TTTGTTCTGATACTTGTCACATAATTTCTCCCAAAGACCAGATACATAGGTTTGATCCATGACCTCTCTCAATACTTTGTCTGTCAAACTCAATAGAATAGCTCTATATGATCTTTCCATAATATCCATATTCCTTTCTGACGCCATTTCATTTGGCAGTTTCGCTTCTCCTTCAAGTGTCACTACATATCCTTGTGGAACTAGAAGATCCTTCATCTTTACCTTCCACAAAGTGAAATAATTTGAACCATTGAACTTCTCCAAAACGAATTTGTGATATATCATCTTCAATAAATAGAACACCAATCGTAGCTCTTATACCACTTGTTAGGGAAAACATTTAATACTTGTCAAGACTCAGAACAAATCAGATGCCACTTGCCAAGTTCTAATGACCCTTTTTAGGAAGTAATGCGGATAACACACAAAACTAAAAGCACACAATGACACAGTATTTACATTGTCAATGTGACCTACGTCCATGGGCAGGAGGGAGTATTCTTTATTGATAGAGTTCTCAAAAAGAGATTACAAGTACAACCAGCAGAGATTCATCCTACTCACTAAGGATACAAAAAAGACTAGACAAATGACTAAGTATGCATCCTTATTTATACTTGAGGGTTAAGAACTAAACCCTAATGGGCCAACCCCATTTGGCCTAAAGGCCCATGAAAGGTGTCAACAAATCACAATACACCATGCAGCATCTTCTGGAACATTCATCCATGTCATACATCCCATGATCATTAGCAACACACATGATGGAGCATCGTGAGCCATAATGGCGCATCATGATGAACAGGTGGAGCATCATGAACACCAGTGGCGATTCATCTATCATGGTGGCGCATTAAGGTGTATTACTTAATTATCTTCAACTTCATGGAATCCTTGGAAAATCTTGATCATCATAGAGGACTTTATAGCATGCGACTCATCATGGGATACCTTGGCATATCAAGGAACCAAGTGGCGCATCCTTGCATCTAGATGGCACATCAGGTATGTAGATGGTGCATCTTGATCAAGGGATGGCATATCCTCTCCTAGGTTGGTGCATCCTCTTCCAAGTTAGTATACCATCCTCAAATGGCACATCTAGACCCCAAGTTGGCGCATCCTCACTGTAATCGAGCATCCTCCTCATAAATCTCATATCATGTCACTTGGTGGCATATCCTGTTACTTGGTGTCATATCAAGTCACTTGGTAGCATATCAAGTCACTTTGTGGCATCTCCTGTCACTTTGGCATATCCTATCCTTTGTCAGGAGATCCATTCCTTTGTTAGTAGATTCATTCCCTTCTCAGATGATCCATTCCTTTGTCACATGCTCCATGAATCCCAAGTTATCTGTTGAGTTCCAAGTGCTCTATTAAACTTAAATGCTCCATGAGAATACTCCAAATGCTCAAGTCGCATTTAACGAAGGCACTTTGTGGAAATTTGCGGATGAGATCAAGAAATGTAAGGAAGAAGGAGTGATGTTAGGTGGAGAAGAATGTATCCGACGACCCATTAGGTATTCTATAAAAGACGATTTAGGATTCCAATTATTATATACAAATACGAAATATTCCAAACCCTTTGTAAATATATAAAAATATTCATTCATTTATTTTTCCTTTTGGTATTGTTGATCTTTAATATTTTTGTTCATTTTTTTGTCGGATAATTTCGGTTATAAATAAAACATTTTACCTCATTTGTAACAACATTATAGTTCATTTGGTAGCTAGTTTAATTAAATTTTCTATCTATACATGTTTCATTATATTGGACACAGCGGCGCTCATGGTGGGGTAGATGATAAGTGGTACCGTCGATGAAATGATTTTGGCCATCCTAAGGGTACCATAGGAGTGAAGAGGAGCGGGTTACATAACATGTTTAACATCTCTCTCTCTCTCTCTCTCTCTCTCTCTCTCTCTCTCTCTCAATTTATGGTTTGTTGTATGTCATGTATCAAAACTTGTACCAAAATAGTTTTATATGTTTTTATATGTTTCTGAAATGAGAAGCAATGTGGTAGGCGTGTGAGGTACAATTGCTGACCTCCATGAATCTTAGGCGCGTCAAGACATTTGCAAGTCCATTTTCCCATTCTATATTACCAGCTGCCCGAAGATGGCTACTCAATCAGCTCGTCACGACATGTTTTACAGGAAGGGGCACATATATTCCAACTTATACTTCAGTTGCATTCAGTTGGAAAAACCTTTGTCTTCCACCATCGAACCACACTACTTTAACAACATGGGGCGTCTTCTTCGACTCTATTGCACTAACACTATCGTATAACTTTTATAATTAAATAATAGATAAGAGAATCAATTACCATACACTTTTGCTAATAAATCTTGAAAATTAAACATTTGTTTGTTTGATTATAAATGTAAAATATAAATTAGCTATAATTAACAATTGTAAATGGACTAAGGGTAACAACAACTTTTTTTTATATAATTTATTTAACTTTTAGCGTCTTTTAGGCTAGGTTTTATTTTTTCACTTATACCCTTTTAGTAGTTTTCGGTTATCGGTTGTATACATGAATATAGGTAGCGCTCCACATGGGCGTTGATTATTTAATTTTGGTGGACATGGGTGTTGGTATGCCCATGAGAGTTCCCTTTATTTAAAAAACGAGGGGGTAGCAATAATCGAAATGAGCACCTCCTCAGCGCCTCCAACAATCAATAATAACACTTTACCACTAAGTTATAACTATTTTCGTGTAGATATGCATAAAAATACATAGATCATGCATAATATCGATTATTACTACTATTATTACTTCGATTATTATTTTTTATTTTTATTATTACTATTATTTATTCTTATTTTATATATATATATATATATATATATATATATATATATATTATATATATATATTAATCGAAGGTATGGAACCTTCGATATAGACAACTATGTAATATTTCCACTCTACAGAATGAAGACTTCGACATATTGATATCATCACAACATATTTTGACTCTATAATCTCACCCTTTGTGATGAATATCCAAGTCTTCAAATAGCATGTCGAGTCTTCACTACATTCAACAGAACTCTTCGAATCTCCATATTCCAGCAAATAATCTTCCTAATTTCCATTCGATTTTCATTAAGTCCTTCTTACACCTGTTGATGTTAAGAAGAATGCTAGAAAGATTCGATGTAGAAAACATCCCTTTGAGGTCTGTGTAGAAGAAATATTTCTTCTTATTCTTCCCTTGGGTTTCATCAGAATTTCACCATCTTCATAATCATCAATATTTAAATCCTCCCTCAATTTTCTATTTCGATTCTTTAGTTTCTTCTTGTAGGCAGTAGCAAACATAAAGTCTTTTAATCCCAAATAAGCAAAATAACAATTGATGAAATTCTTGAGGTGGCCATAACAAATAATGTATGGTGCTTTGTCTGAAATTTGATCATTATCAATATTTCCCATGAGCTTCACTATAGTGATAAGATCATTCATATTCCTCATAGGAAAATCGGCAATGGTGAATTCTTAAGGAGTATTGTCTGATATGGCAACCTTGTATCGATAATTTAGAATAATGCCTTCAAATATCACATCATTTGTTATTGAGATTAATTTGATTATCTTTTTCAAGGATTTCCTCTTCTTTGTTTCCAAGAACTAAATGGAATCTTATCTTCAAGCTTTTATATTCATCTGTCTCTTGATAGTTATCAGGAAGCTTGAACTGAGGAAAAGTAAACATTGAAGGATTGAATGGAAAATCCAACTTATTGAAAGATGAATATTCTATCAAATAACCATGCTTTGGTTGCTTCTCAAATGCATTCACTTCTCTAAAAGCAACATTCTCAATAGACTTATAGCACCAAATTTTCTTAATATCCCCATTTTCAAGACTAGGTGGGTCATTCTCTCTTTGTCTCATAATGTTATTTAGTTGCTTGAGCTTCTCCATCTCTAACTCTGTTAATCTTTTCTTTTCTTCCTCAGAAGGTTCGACATGTACGCCTTTTACTTTATTCTTTGGTTCAGCTGTTGCAACAGGCTTTACTGTCGAAAATCCGGAACCTCCTTCATTTATATTCAAACCCTTCTTTGACTATAACTTCTACATATCAACATTTAAAGTGGCACTTGAAGTTGTTGTTGTTGCTATTGTTTGAACAGGCTTGATAGGAATAGAAGCAGGAATTTGAGTTAAAAAAACCTTCCCAGCCACGTTTGCTTTCTCATCACCTCCAACCTTCGATGATCCATGCTTATCTCCCATTTGTGACACGAGCATCAGTCGTGGAACATTCTTGGGTAATCGAAGCACCAAATCCAAAAATAGGAGCAAGTTGAGACTTAATAGAAGACTCTATCGAAGATACAGGCTGTGAAAGTTGCTCATCATTTATCGTAGGAGTTGGTTGGACATCAATCGATACATAATCCTGTAAAGTAGTGAGAGAGGTATCAATACTTTTGAACTTTTTCTCATTAGATTCATTCTTCTTTCTCAATTCTTCCTCCTATCCTTTGTTAAATGCTCGAATGTATTCAATCAAAGTTCTTGTAGCAGAAAGAAGAACATCCACATTGTTTTGAATGCCCATAAAAAAGCATCAATCTTCTTAACTTCTTTGGTAACCAAATCATAAAGGTATTTGACATTCAATTCAATGGATTCCTTAGAATCTATCACAACCTTCTCTAGCAATTCATTCTTCTCTCTACCAATATTTTGAACTTCAGTAAGGTTAATCTTATAAGAAGTCATGTTCCCTTCAAGGTAGTCTCAAGATTAGTCACAAAATTTTTGACTAAAAAATTCATCTTCGTTTTTTGAGATTTCAACAAAGATTCAACATATTCTTTGTTTAATGATGAAGAAGAATCGGCAAAATCATTGAGGAATTGTAAGATCGTCTTCAGCTTAGAATTGAGAATCTTGTACTACTTCCTCACATAATGGCATGATCTTCGATGTTTTCTTCCTCATAATCAAACTCAAGATCAAAAAAATTCAACTCGCTCATCTTCTTCAATATTGATCTCATCATCAGTAGATTGAGAAGAAAATAAAATATTGATGGGTTGTTGTAAGATTCCTGCAAATGTAGGTGGGTTGAATGGAACTATGGTAGTATGAACTATCAAAATTATCAGTGGTGGGGATGGTGGTGGCTGAACTATCGAAGAATCCAGCGAAAACGTTTTACCAATATTGACGTTTGGATCATTATTAGATAAGTTCCTAGGGATGTTTGAAGACCTATCCTCCTCCATATTGGACTTGGTACTAGGACCTTCGGGTAGTATAACTGCAGTTTAATCAGGAGCTGTAGTCGAAGTTGTTTTACTGTTTATGATGTTTGTATCCACATAAGATGTGTTAACATTGAGATCCAGGTTTCTTGTCTCCTCGATGTTCGATTTGACAAAGGCATCCCTTCGCAGTAAAAAAAGTGGATTTTCATGTAGCATCTGATCCACATCATCTTCATTTGCTTTTATGATGATATTTTGAAGCTTGAGTTTGCTCTGGCACCTCAGTATCAGTATCCTCATCTTCTATTTCAACTAATACCCCTTCTTCATTAACAACAGTCTTCTTAGGCTTCTTTGTTTTAGGCTTCGATGTATACTGTTTCCCTTTGGTTTTCAAAAACCCAGCTACATTTCTCTTCTTGGGTTGTTCTAAACTAGATGGTTCCTTAATTGTAACTCCCTTAGTCTTCGACTTCACTTTCCTAGGAGTTTAAACATGAGGAGCAACACTCAATGTTTTCCTATATTTAATCAACATATGAGTTGACTCAGCTATCAAACTAATCATAGCTTCAAGAATCCTTCCAACAAATGGAACCTCAATAGGATCTTCAGTAACATTCTTTGGAATTTTTAAATGAGAAAATGGAGCAACTTCAACTCCATTAGGAACTTGAATTCCTGCCTGATTATATGCTTCTCATAAAAGCAAACTCCAAAATTGATCACTCGCTATCTCTGATGTCTTCTTTGAATGCTTAACATATGTAGTGAACTCATTCCACAACAGCGAAGCATAATCCACCTTCAAACCGTAATACAATCCAGCCACATGTCAAACAACGAATCGTAACACCAAAGAAGAAAATCTACATAATCGGTAAAATGGACTTCCTGAAATTACTAATAATAGAAATAGGAGGATTGTACCCTATTTTATTCAACATTTGAAACACTAGATCAAAACATGGGACGTCAAATGGACCTTTAGACGTCAATTCAAGAATCTAAGTAAACTGCTTCTTCACCAATTTCTTTGTTCCTTTTGATTCCATCTGGAACGTAACAATATCAGCATCAGGATTATAAATGCTCACTGAAAAAGCTAGAGACAACCATTGTGTCGATATAACAAAAAAAGAAGATAAAGCAGGAGTAAGAATTGAATCGTTCAAGCATTGAACCAACATCTTAAGTTCTTCGTGATAAGCAGACAAGTTTGGATTAAACCAAACATTTTTTGATTGTATCTTCATCTATGGAATGGAAACAGCTTCATCGTTGTGTTAAATTGATCGACTGTTGCTAAAATACTAGACATAATCAATGTCTTTCATTTATTTTGCACATAGAATTTTTAAGGTTAGGGTTCTTGTGAGAAATTAGGAGAGTAGAAAACTAAATCGGAAATGTCAAAACCCTTTTTATAAATGGCATCAAATTTGAATTTGAACCATTTCCCAATCAAAAATGCCATGTGTCAAGTAGGTAACTGAAGCGACAACATCCGTATCCGCGATGTGTAGACGTAATAAGTGAATTCCTCGACCAGCGATAAAGCAATAGCAGCTATATGTTATTTCTCCAGTGGTTACTTTTTCTTCTCAGTCAGTATCGAACATTAACTAAATGAAGTATCTAATATTTGTTGAACTTCGATTGTAAACATGAACCAATCATCGATAGTTAAGGCTAGATCTCATTCACTTATGGGCATTGTAAGCGAAATCGTAAACCAGACTTTGTGAAATCTTGGTATGGGTGGGTAATACCCAAAACCTCGAGGATTTTAGTGTCCATGTGTATCCAAAGAAAAAGATAGAATCAATGATAACAAAAATTTGGATAAGTAGTGATATCAAAGAAACTTTGATATAACGCAATAAGATCTAGGGCAAAGATTCTCTTCCTCCGACATCAAGAGAGATATCAAAGTGCTTGTGTTGTTTCTCGTGAGTTACATATGAATACTTATAGAGAATTATCAAAGGGCCACTTTTAGTTAGTATGGAAGGTAGGATTTATTTTAAAAACATGTTTTTTACTTATCATAAGAGCAAAAACAATGTAATAAAGTACCTAAGTGATCAATGTAATCGACATCAAGTAAGATTTGATGATATTTTTCAATGACTAAAGGTACAGAAAAAATATTCAAACGGAAATCTCATTTCATGAAAAATAAAGGTTTGGATCTTCTATGGTAGAATGACTTAGGATTAGTCAATTTAACTAAGGTTACGCAACATAATGAAAATGAGATTTTGAACATTACAAATGGTACATTGAAACATAAAAGTTTCATACGTGTAACGTCCCGAAAATCATGGCATAAAAATTTTTGTTTTTAGATTAATAAATCATTAGTAAAGCTTATTTCCATAAAACCAGGATAACCAATATTTAGCAACACATTATCAAATCAGAGTAATTCACACAATGCGAAAACATGTGATGTGTGCTCTGCAATCATTTAAAGCTCTCCCATTTGAAAATCGGAGTACCTGAAACATAAACTAAAAACCGTAAGCACAAAGCTTAGTGAGTTCCCCAAAATACCATACAACATACAACTACAGATTATCATGCAACATACATATAGTTGCCATGAGCTCCCCCCATGGTCTTTATCTGGAATGCCATGGGCTCCCCCATGGTCTTTACCTGGGATGCCATGGGCTCCCCCATGGTCTAATATCCAAGTGCCACGGCCTACCCCCAGGGTCTTCTACACATGTATCACATAGACAACTATCATACCACATAACACGTAATGGGTCGGCATTGGTGCCTTCTACCCATAGATATAGTGAGAAGACTCACCTCACAGTCTAAAAGAATAGTTGCACCGATCACTGCTCTAAAGGCTATGTCTACCAGCCACCTATACAATTAACAGGAACCCAAAAGCTCAACTATAAATCAAATTACCCAAAATGCCCTTAGGTCAAACTTGGTCAACCCTGGTCAAAGTCAAAGTCAACGGTCGAGGTCCAAAAGTCAATATATCTTCCTAGCGGAGTACGCCCTGCATACAAAGAGAGTACGCCCAACGTACTCTGATGTTGAGCAAAAGCAAGGCGCTGATCGCGTATGCGCAACGTACCACCAGGGACCCCCATCGTATGCCACCTAGTCCCAAAGCTCCATTAAGAGTTTATCCCATTAATTCATACATCCAAAACTCAAATCCAAGTCCAAAATGATGTCCTAAGTCATAAAGTTTCCAACTTTATTACTTTGCATGGCTATAAAGTGCTTAATGTCCAAAACCCTAAGTTCTTAACCCAATAAGACATCACAACTCTTGCATGGAAGGAATAGAATGGCCAAGATCACATTTTTATTGTTCATGATAGCTTTATAATTGATAAAATTTCCAACTTTATCCATTAGAATTGTCCCAACATACAGGATCTAGTCTTTAAGTCTCAAAGGGACCCAAAAGTTCATCTTTTTCAACTTAATCCATTAACTACAAGTCTCCAACCTTCATATTTGAATCCAAAAGATATTTAGATGGATAAGGTTTCCAACTTTATCCATAACAAGGTCACAAACTTTCTATATCTAAACTTTAATCACTAAAACGACCAAAATCTCATAACCTCAAAAACTAGCTAGATCTAAGAAATGCATCATCAAGATTCAAACTTTATACCTCTAGAAGATAGATCAGGGTGAACAAAGTCCAGATCTAGAAGCTCCAAAGCAACCAACACTTCTCCAAGAGGTTCCTTCTTCTCCAAGGTGCACCATCCATACTCAAAAGCACTCAAAACACCTTCTTTTACCTCATAAGGCTCAACTAGCGTTAGGTTTTCATGGAAGGGGTATTGGAGGGGTGGAGGCTGAGAATGGAGTAGGTTTGGGGGAGTTAAGGAGCTTAAATAGGGCTCAACCACGAAAATAGGATTTGGGCACTGTCCGCATACACCCAACGTACACTTTGAGTATGCCCAGCGTACTCAGCTTCACCCAAAATCGACCAAACTTCAAACGGGCATAACTTCTTCATCCTAACTCTGATTTTGACATTTTTTATATCCACATAAAGGTATTGAAGAGCTCTACAATATTATCTAACTATCTTGGACTAAAAACACCTCGAACAAAAATCCATATTTCATGCAAGAACCCGGTCTATGACTTTTCCCGTTTTACCCTTTGACTCCAAAACACAGTTCAAAGGTTTAGATCTCATAACCAATATTACCTCCTTCTAAAAGTTCTAAACATCGCCTCCTTAAGGCCCAAAGGCTTTACACAACCGACTTCCTGCCCATGGCCTTGAATCACAGAATAATCTCAAGCATGATGTTACAACTCTCCCCTACTTAAATTAGATTTTATCCTCAAAATCATTCCTTACTATCTCTTTTACCGAGCTAAGCGATCCTGACTGAACTCCCTGAATCCTAAAAATGACTGGGGAAGTGACCTCACTCTGATGACTGTGCACCCTTACTGTTGTCGAACCCAAATTAGCAGATATCCCAAGCCTTAACGAAGAGTGAACCTTAACTTTTTCTGTAAGCCAATGAGTATCCAACCGTTATACCTGAAATTGAAAGCCCTGAACGATGTCTGACTCCCAGACAGACAAAACCAATCAAAAATGTTCCCACAAAGACTCAACTTCACAACCCGAAACATATCCACCTTGACCACCTACCAGATCCTTGAAAAAATTTGACCCTATCATAAGATGGCCTTCCAATAATGAAACCCATGCTTAGCAAAACTCACATATTGATGACAGACGAATCCTTGTTCCCGCTGGCCTTAACCTATAAAGGACAACCATCATTACTCAGCTCATAACCAGGAATCCAATACCATATCTGACTTCCCGACATACAAAACCATTCGAAAACACAACCAATATGGCTCCACTTCGCAATTTAATCCGAACAAAATCCTTACGACCCTAAATTATCCTGCTGAACCACATTCGTATTTTCGATCTATCCAAGATCTTTTGAGCTCCGACCAGATCTATCAATAATCTGATGCGC